TATATGAGTCAAGATTCCTTATCATCAGTTTAAAAATTTTTATACTTTCAATAATTTTTTTATATAATAAATATTTAATTGATTTAACCGTTGAATTATGTAATATTATATTTAAGATTATGTATAATATTTAAAATGTGTAAATATCCATTTTTGGATATCATATACAAAAAAGTTCAAATCATGTGAAATTTGATTTATATGATCTTAAGTATAATATGATATAATGATTATATTAATTAAATATGCATTATACAAAAAATTATTGAAAATATAAAATTTGATGTAAGTCTAAAAACTCACACCAAATCATAAAGAGTCAAGTGTATATATGTATTTGTGTGTAGAGAGAAGATATTTTCTTATTTCAAAAATAAGTATCGATAAATTTACTCTACTCAATAACTTATGTTATATATCAAATTTTAACAATTGTAATTTTTTTTTTTAGAGTTTAACAATCGTATATAAAAACTTTAAAATATCACTTTTGCATATGTAAACTCTATCCAAGAAAAATGATATCAAATTAAAATAACAATTAACAACAGCTAAGTAATGGTAGGCTAAAATAAAAATTAAATGATGAAAATAATGATAAATTCATACCATAAAATGATGAAAATATTAATGAATGTCTATAAATCTTAGGAATGGGATGGACAATTTTGGTCATGGCCTAACAAGGTCAAGTATCAGTGAACCAACATATTGGAGCAACTATTTTAAAAACCATGAACTTTTTTGTTTTTGGAAGAAACCCGTTAACCACATAAATAAATAAGTCATTTACTTCCCCTTCTTTTTCTGAAAGCCCAATCCAAAACACATTTTTAAATTTTCAGACCCAGTGTTTCATAACATTTTTTTTTATTCCGAACTAGGTAAAGGAATACATTTTTACATTTTGGAATGCCATAACTCTTTTAATATTATAGAGTACCCAAATTTATTAGCTCAAGTAGTTTTTGCACCTATGCTCCTTAACCAAAGACCAGAGCTTGATGTCTAGTTTGGGAATATAATTGTGACCGAAGATATCACTTTACACTTATAGAAACTAACTCAATAGAAGAAAAAAAATTATATCTCTTAGTATAATAAAAAAAAATATGGAGCGAGTATTCTAGATCACCTCTTTAACATCCCGAATCAAGTGTTCAAGAACATAAATTTTAGGGGCTTTTTGGAATTTTAATATTTTGGGAGTGTAGAAAATAAATGGAAGGGTATGGAAAGTAAATGTCACTAAGTAGATATGTTGGCCCATGAATTCGAAGATTTATTACTTGAGCATGGCCTAGTCTTTCCGGGGCTTGAGAATGAGAAGTTTCATACCTTACAACTAACAAGACTCAAATAGGTGCAGAACATATAATCATAAATGTAATATTTGTTAGAAGCGGTTACCACAAATCATCATTATATTTAACCTAGAGATACCATTCATGTCATATCCCGTGAAAAACACTACCATAACCCATTAAGGAGGATATAAATTTAGGTACCACTCTGTAATTTTTACCCACTTGAGCTGGGGTTTTAATTTACTTTCAGAGCGTTTCCGGCGTAAAATATTACAGCATCCCATCCGACTGTAAACACTCACTTTCTCAATGACAACAAATTATGGCCATTCTAAAGATGCACTGTGCTGCTAATACATGTCTTTTACTTTTACGGGCTAATAAAGCTACAGTGTGCTAACGCATTAGTGAAACTCACATTTGTATGACATGACATTGCTGATGGCTACAAGAAAATTATATATTTTTTTACTAACTTTTGGATGAATATCGTCATTAAAAGTCAAGGCAATACATTCTTTAGGAAATCCATTTTAAAAAATAATACAAAAAAAATACTGAAAGAAAAAATCTTAAAAATATTTGCTCCTTGGTCAATTCTATCTACACTATAAATGACTGATTATACCATATCAAACACAATGCACACCTTATCATTCAAGGAATTATGTTACAACAAAATCAAATGAATGTCATCCCTATTATATCAAAACCAAGTTAATTTAATTGATTAGCATGGCAGTTAGTAACAAAAAGAAAGTTAATATTCTTCCGATAAAAAAGGTAGAAGCCCCAGAAATATTGTGTGCACTCACTGTATGTACTACTCCAGTTGTTTCATCCTTCACTTTAATGCTGGAAGAGCCTAAAACAAAAACAACACAATGCTAAGAAATTTATTCTAGCATGCATCAATATCAACATATTTTACCCTAAAAACCAATAGAAATTAACATGATTTATATTGATAAAATAACTATAACATATAAAAACTACTTTTTTCCAAACTCATAAATTAATTAGCATTTCTAATACGAAAATAGAAAATAGTCATTAAAAAAGATAAATTACACTATAACACTCCCCTCCACCTGATAAATGATTGAATTACACAACTCTCCTTTTTAATTTCAAAAAATTACAACATCCTAATGAGAGATTAATAAATGCTACACTTCAATATATTTTAATGTAAATTAGCTTCTTAGGAACAACTTTTCACTCGTTGGGCCTCTCGGCATCATCAACAACTACTATTGAACTTTTACACTATCAAATTTAGAATTTTAGAAGATGAAATAAAATTTGGGCTAAGCTTCAAAACCAATAATAAGGATGTTTGAACAATAAAATAAGTAACACAAAAAGTTGCATGGACAAAAAACAATACCCTAAGAGACTTGTTTATTATCCACCTTTAAGAGATCCATTTACAATAAAATAGAAGTGTATCACATTTTATTTTTTAGGAGAACAGTGTAGTTTTAAAAATTAGAAGGAAAGGCAATATAAATAAAGTATCTATCAAGGGAAAGAAGTGTAATTCATCTGAAAATAAACCTAAAAAAACATTTCAAGCAGGAGTAGGTTTGGCCCAAGAAAGATGAGATTGATTAAAATTAAAGAGCGCTAAAAGGAAACAAAGTTGTGACATGAACTCGAGACAACCTTGGATTTTACATTCCACATATTAATATAAACTTGAGGTTATACTACCCATTTTCCTTTATATCTATTCAATTAAGAAGATAGCACACATTTAGAAATGCAATTTTATTTTAGTTAATTTTAACTTTCTAATATGACCTTCATTACTTTGCTCTCTTGTTTATGATAAGTGTCTAAATATTCAACAATTAAACATAATTGGAAAGATAATAATAATAATATTGTTTTGAACTTTTAAAGACATAAATAGGAACGTTTTTTTTCTTTTCAAATGGACAAATAAAAAGGACGAATGTAGTACTAAACCATGCAACAAAGTAGGAAACAAAACATTATGAGACGTTGCATGGCACTCACAATTGTAGTCGGTCCATCCAATGGCCATATTTTCAAGATCATACAAGACTAGTTTGTTTGATAGCACCAAATCTGCAGTTGAAAATAATTCAAATTTAATAAATGATATTGAGATCCAACACTAACAAGCAAAGAATTCCAAAATGAATAAAACTAGCTTCAGTCACACACACAGAGTCAACATAAAAGGTAAAGGTTCAAAAATAAGAATAAGAAGGCTCTTAATTCAACACAAATAGCTAAAAGGCTATAAGATGAACACTTATCAGTGTTAGAAATTATAGGCCTTGAGTAATGGAAGAAAGACAAGAGAAAGAGATAGACAACTAGAATAAACATATTATTGTTAGGATGTGATACTCATATCCTAACCTAATACTCCCATTTACACTAAACATCTTACTAGTACAAGGCGAAGCTCACTAACAATAAGACTTAATATCTAATGACCCTAGGATCTTAACAATCAGGACCAAACACAATTGGTTACTAATGGTACATATTATGTTCTATAAACTTGGACTAAGTCACTGGATTAATTTATAAGTGCCGTTTAATTCTAAATTGTACCTCCAAGAAGGGTCATGTCCTTTCCATTCTTCGTTTCTGCCACACTTTTCTGCCAGCCAATACACCAGATACCATCCTGGGGAACAATCAAAGACAAATTAACATTAAGAAACACCATAATTACATTGTTGTAATTAATTTATCAAAACTGAGGTGTTCAAATAAATTCAAAAGATGCATATTATATCAGTAGAATTGTACGGATGACAATTTAAACCATCATTATAGTTGACAACGAACAATAGATAAGAAGCTTTAATTTAAAATTAGACAAATTCCCTATAATTGTATTGGGCATTTAATAAGCATGTATTATAAAACACACAGACACTCAGTTACATTCAAGAGATGGAGAAATCAGTTCAGACAACAGGTTAACTAGAGATTAAAGCCCTGAAAAGAAAAACATATTTGTCATTTGAGTATTTAGCATCTACAAAGCTTGTCAAAGAAGAAGCTCGGTACATCTATAGCAAAACCAAGTTTGTACTCACTCTAAACTGGAACAAGTAGTCGTGAGGATAGACTGTCAGAGTAAGAGAATCCTCAAAATGAAGCTTGACAACTGGAAATCCGTGATCAACACTGCAAGATTACAATTATGAACAAAATAAGGGTTGCATATGCTAGACAATTGAAGTGCACCTATTGCCTTCGAGAACTGATGAAATTTAATTCTAGTGAAGTAAAATGCATTTACCAAAACATCATTTGAACAATTCATACCCAGTTTCTATTTTAAAAGAAAACCAATTTTTATCAGAATAATTACGTCCTTTATTTTATCCCAATTCCCATTCTTCCCCCCCCCCCCCCCC